CCGTGGAGGCGGAGCCTGAGGGGCGTGGCTTCGGGGACAGCTCTGGGTGCTGGATGTCCACATGCCTGGAGTCTCCACTCGCATCCTTTCTCAGCAGCGGCCTGAGCTCGCTCTCCCCACTGCAGAAGCGGAGGATGAAGGTGCTGTGCATGCAAATGGAGCAGACCTGTGTCCTTAGACATGAACTGAGCGCTTGCTGTGTGAGACTGGAACCAGACAGACAAGGTTCCAGCCAGCCTGGAACTTAGGTTGTAGAAGGGAAGACAGACGATGGGGTGAAAGAACCAAAACGGGTTGTTGCGCACCTCGAAAGCCTCTCTGCTTATTTGGTGAATGTCTGGGGAAAGACTGATATGAGAACACGGAACCAGTTTTTTTCAAGTAAACATATAAATAAATAGTATGTACCACGTTATAAGTTGCATTTTTTTTTCTTTACAAAACCAAACAACTTTGAAAACAGCACAGTAATGGGGTGATGTAGAAGGGTGAGATTGGCAGAGTGGTCGGGGAAGACTTTTACCGGGTGATGCTGTGTGAGATTAGAAAGTTCGGTGGTTCGTTTTGAGAATATAGTATTTAGCCTTAATTGGGTTGTAAGATCCAATTGTAGCCGATTTTAGCCCAGTTGTAGCCCAGTTTTAAAATTATCCAATCACTAACCCCACTTTCTCCAATCACGGCAAGAGGGAGCATTGATTTAGAGATAAAAACAGCTAAACTGCCAGCAGTGTGCTTGCTAGATAAGTTCTTTAGCAGAAGTTAAGTTTGTCTTGTCCGCCTACTTCTGAGTATGTGTTTGATTTATTATTTTTTTTATTATTTTTAGTGGTCAATGGACCTTTATTTTATTTATTTATTTGGATGCGGTGCTGAGAATCGAACCCAGAGCCCCACACAGGCCTGGCAAGCACTCTTGAGCTACAGCCCAAGCCCTGCGTTTGATTTCTTGCTGCACTTAGGTGTTTCTAACAAATTGGGTGCCAAGTGTGGAGCTCCATACATTGCCTAGGGGTCATGGGTCTCCTTCCTTAGAAGAGACACTTCCTACTGCCTTATTGCAGTGGCCCCAGAGCAGGGGAGGAAATTGTCTGTGATCCTTGAGGCTGGCAATGGTCCCCAAATCAAAAGTGGATCCACAAAGAGGGGAAAGGACCCAAGCAAGCACCCTGGAGGCCAGGTAACTCCAGGCATGAACCAAGGTAGGAAAATCTACTCTCAAGGACCAGAGAGAAGTACTTCCTTGGTCATGGCATCTTGGAGATTCTGTGAGTATGACTGAGGCATGAGAGCAAGAAATCCCCAAAGAGCGGGGGTTGGGTCTTGATTCAGAAACACTGAGAGCAAACTCAAGGAAAGGGGGGTGGGAGTTTGTGTGCAAGAAATCCTCAGTAAGGAGGATAGAGCACATAGGGTGCCTGGGGTATACAAGAAACCTCCAGGGGTTGACTACACCAGGAAACTTAATTATAGAAACCTTAAAAAGCAGAGGGTTGTAATAAAAATTCTAGGTCTAAGGACAGGGAAAAACAATGGAAATCTTTTCCTTTGGAGGGTTCCAAGCAGGGAAAATAAACAGTAGTGATGGTAGGAATAAATCTTTCCCCATGGAGGATAATGGCCAACTAAACCTTTGATTTCAGCATCCACCATGGTTGACAGACTCTATTCCTAATGTTACCAACTGCACAGCCCATTTTCATGTACCAGTCATACTGTAAAAAAAATCTGGGACAGGGTTGGAGTTGAGACTCAGTGGTAGAGCACTTGCCTAGCATGCATACATGAGACTCTGGGTTCCATCCCTAGAACCACATAAAAAAAAAAAAAAACTAAATAAGTAAAATAAAGGTATAGTTTCCATCTTTTTTTAAAAAAAAATCTGTGACAAGCTGTATTTTAACCTGTGTATTGTATGTTGTGTCTATATATGGGCTTGTATCTCTATCATGTACATGATATCAAAATTGGTTTTTATGGGTAACCTAAGTTAGAAATGGGTAAATTAGTTTTAACATAAATGGAATTAATCTTCATAAATGTGTTTGTTAGAGGAGACATCTGGCTGATTTACAAAGTTAAAATACTAAAACATCAACTAAGTATAAATTCAAGAACTCTTGGCTTCTTGAATTCCATAAGGTAACATATATTTGGGCTATTAAATTTACCAATTTACAAAAATTGGTAAATTTAAAAAAGGTTTACATCAGACATAACTTTCCTATGTTCATATATGCATACACGACCAGTATAACTCCACAATATGTATACCTCAAGAATGGGGAGTTATACTCCATGTATGTATGATATGTCAAAATACATTCTACTGTCATGTATAACTAAAAAGGATAAAAAAAATTTAAAAAGGTTTAAGGTTACTTAAACTAAAAGCAAGGTTGTGAAGCGCTGAAATTCTAACAGGTGTAATTCCATATGCATAACATAAGTTTCAGCTGTATTTAGTTAAAGTACTGTAAAAAGAATAAAGTATTTCAATTATTAAGAGAAAGAGTAAGATTTATCCCTGTGGCTCTGGGAGGCTGAGACAAGAGGATTGGGAGTTCAAAGCCAGCCTCAGCAAAAGTGAGGTGCTAGGCAACTCAGTGAGACTTTGTCTCTAAATAAAATACAAAATAGGGCTGGAGATATGGCTCAGTGGTGGAGTGCCCCTGAGTTCAATCCCCAGTACCCTCCCCACCCAAGAAAAAAAAAAAGGAGTAAGATTTGTTTGAATGAGGGAAGAAAAAGCTCTTGTGACGTCAGGAGCAACCTACCTAATAGAGGTTTTATGGTTTCTGGATAAGAGTCCTGCTGAACAGGTATTTCAAAAGCACTGGGGCTGATGGTTGGAATCTATGTTGTACAGGCT